ATAGATAGATAGATAGATAGATAGATAGATAGATAGATAGATAGATAGATAGATAGATAGATAGACTTTTCCCTTTTTCTGCTCAGTACTGCATGCCAAGATAAAGGTTGGGATTCCCCAGTTAGAGATTTCAAATTTAGATTGTGAGACTGATATTTTAGGTACACGAAACAATTCTAACAAGGTTGAGGGCAATAATGAATCACCCAAACTAACTGGCATTTTCTTACTATAAAATATATAACTGCCTTCTTCCAAGTCAGACCAAAGGTGATAGGACTTTTTATTCTGACCAATAATGGCTCTCTAAAATATTAAGTGGAGAGTAATTTTCTTAATTTAATGCCCTATTTTATCAGTGGAACACAAACCAAACATGGTTCAGCAGCTCTTCTATTGCTATGGCTTTTCCAATGCTTGACATTTCTCCTGTTTTGAAGACTTAAGAAACAGCAGCTAGAGGTGGGTGGAGTCTCTTGTGGACTATTAGACATGACCCAAGGTTTACCTTCAGATTGGGGTCCCAGATGTGTGCAGGCCTTCCCCTGCCACTGGACTAGAACCCCCCCAAACAAATTTCTGCAAAAAGAACATATCCCATCTCCCCCTGATACCAGCTGTACCTCTTACGAAGAAGAGCAGAATGATCTTATGAAGAAGATGACCCTATTTATGAACCTACCCACTCAAATGTCTCAACAGGCATGGGTCTGTTTGAAAAAAAAAGGAAGACTTCTAGGAAAAAGGAAGGTCAGCATCTCCAGATGTGGTCTTACCGGACAACTTCTTCACATGTCCAAAATTGATTTGTATTACTTACCTCCCACTCTTCGCACCCCCCAAAATGATTGTTGAAGTTATAGCCCTATGAATGGCTATGCCCAGATCAGATCCATTCAACAGGATAAGCAAAATTTATCTTGAAAGTGGGTAGATATCTGCACAAATGCACAGAAGGTACCCAGGTGACCTTGATAAGCGATTCTCCATTAAAACTGCCTATATACTCAAAGATGGTTGATGTTCCTCAGTTCTTCAATACACTATATTCTTGCTCTTCTGAAGAGGTCTGCAACTTGGGCCCTACCAAGCTGATTGCAGCCCACAAGCCCCTCTATTGCAGCTTACGGACAACATGTAATTGCCCATTCTTTCAGCCGAAGAGATGGGAAAGACCAACGTAAATGCAGCAAGTTTCGAGAATTCCTTACAATCTACCATTTCTTCTATGAGACAGTCTCAATATGGGATACTGCATTTCCAATTATTTTGATGCAAGTATAAACTGTGTCGCTAAATGATGACAGTGGTTGCTTTGTTACACAAGCTTTTTAAAATTAAAAGCATTAGGTGAATTGTCTGTAACCTTTTGGTCAATAAACCAGCCCTTCTGATTCTAGTTTTGCCCAAAAGCAGTTTGCAAATTGCAGGAACACCCATCTGGAGATGAGAAATCTGATGCATATAAACTCTTGACAGGCTGCCTCAGGGTGGTGAGAACAAGTACTGTATTTTTCACTCTATAAGATGCACTTCCCCCCAAAACAAGTGTGGGGGAGTGTCTGTGTTTTATGGAATACTGTAGAACAGCTCCCCAGGGCCCAGTGGGGGGATGGTGGGGGAGCCTCTGAAGGGTCAGAGAGTGCCTTCCAGGATCCTTCGGAGGCTACCCCCACCCACCAGGGGCCAGCAGGGGTGAAGTCGTGACCTTCCAGAACCCTTCTGAGGCTTGGAAAGCCTCAGAAGGGTTCTGGAAGCTGGTGATTTCACCCCTGCTTATCCTGGGGGTGGGGTGAGTGGAGGAGCCTCCAAAGGGTCATGGAAGGCACTCGCAGACCCTTCTGAGGCTCCCCCCACCTCCACCCCTGCGGGCCCAGTGGGCCAAAATTGTCAGAATATTTTTTCCTGTTTTCCTCCCCTAAAAATGAGGTGCGTCTTATGGAGCGAAAAATACGGAAATTTCTTCACACTCCTAGAATAGGGTTAGCTTACCTAAAAACTCTAGTAACTCCCTTTCTCTTCTTCCATTAAATTGCGCTTGATTTCTTCTGGGACTCCAAAGAACCCCGGAAAAAGCAAGGGGGGGATTTGCATTGACACAAATCATATTCTCCAGTTTGTTCTGATATGTCTGCACCAGCCCACCACACTCACTTTGGTGATGAAAGTTAGCCCATCCTACTCTGCTGTGATGTTGAACATGTGGAAGGGACAGTCTCAAGAGGAGAAGGATGCTCTATCTGTGTCACTTCTCCTTGTTAACAAACTCCATCCCCAAAGAGGCTATACCAAGACATGGAGAGGCTAGCATGAGCCACTCCTGGCATAGGAGCTCCACATGCTTCATGAATGCCCGAAGAAGTCCATTACGACGTACACCTTAACCCTCTGCTGACAATGAAATTTTCGATCCCATCACCCCACCCCTCAAGTCTTGGGTCCAATGGACTACTGTAGTAAAAATTGCCAAACAAAATAAAGAGAGAGATAGTGCAGGCAAGAATGGCATGCAGAAGAGAAGAAAGCTTCGGGTTATGGCTCAGATGCATGTACCTAAGTTTTCTGGTGACGCTTGATCCAAAGAACGCTTCCCTACTAAACATGACATTACTGTAAAGTGAAAAAAGATGGCAAAAGGAATGGTTAGTGTTAGTTTATGAGAATTCTACGTGGGATTTTAAAGAATGCAAAGAGGTTAATTCGAGACTCATCATTTTCCTGATCTGGTTTCCATTTTCTGAAAGGAATACTAAAAATACTAGTATTTTTACATTGATATTTTACACTTGTTATTTCTTGTACCATCATTCATCTGGATCGTCATTGACATCTTCACAACTGAAAGCAACCCTCACTTTGCTAAATGCAAGAACATATACATATAATGTCTGATAGTGATGCCATATTAGAATAACAAGTAATGAACAGACAAACAAACAATCAAACAGATAACAGATTGCTATATTATGGCAGGCACTTTTGCAATCAATCAGTTTATCCATCTGGTATCTGAAATGCACAGTAGCAGGGGCAACAGCTGAAAGCTAGAGCAGATCTCTGTCACTGGCATGACAGAAACATCATCATACAACATATGGAAATAGGATGGAAACAGCTTGTGACCCAGCAGGCTGACTCACACAATTCTTTTCAAAAATGGCATACTGACACCAATTTAAGTTATCTTCATTGAGTGGCAGCTGGTTGTGATTGTATCAAGGGAGCTCCCAAATACGTCTTAGTATGTTTTTGTTCAAAACAATAATACAAAACCCCCAATTTTTCCATGGTGTGTCTTTCAGACAAAACAAAACAAAATTTAAGAAAATTAAGACATCCAAAACACTGCGGCACTTTTTAGACTAAGTGCTATATTTTAATGTGAGCTTTCTGGAGTCAGTCCACTTCCTTTCTTATGTCTAAGGAAGTCGTCTTGTCCATGAAAGCTCACATTAAAGTATAGCACTTAGTCTTTAAGATGCCACAACATTTTTGTCTTTATTTGTTATCTTGTATGTTTGTTTCTGATACGCTAGCACAGACTGCCTCTTCTAAAACTACAACCAAGGTGTAGTTTGTAAACTTGTATGACATGTATAAACTCCAATATAGAGCCAAAGCTCCTCTTCCTCAGTGGAAGGAATCTTTTGTCCATAGAAGAAATCTTGTTCTCCAATTCCATGTAACTGAGATAACAAGGAGGCGGTTCATTGAATTTAATGAGGCATTGAGTTCATGCGTAAGATTGTTTCTGTAAGTGTGTATTCAAACGGTATGTGGGCATATGGGCTTACATGAATTGAGTCAACGTCATTCTGCAACAATGAATTAAAATGCATCAAGCAAACTGCTGTAGGTCACATTCAAATTTTTTAAAAACAAGTACACATTAGAAGAGCAACCAAACAAAATCAAATCAAACACACAGACACACTTAGGGATGTCTCTCACATCCTGCTAAGTTGTTGGAAACTTATGGAAATGTTTTCATACATCACTACGACATGTAGAATCAGTCATCAACCATGCAGTTCATCCTATTCATCTTGTATTTTCATGTCAGCATTAGAAATGTGAAGAACACTTATGGGAATCTACTCCGTTTGTCACAGAGCTGGTCTATGATGTATGTGGCTTTTTTCTTTATGTGTTATACAGCCTGGACGTTCGTTCATTCATTCATTCGTTCATTCATTCATTCATTCGTTCACATGCCTATGGAAATGTTTCCATAGGCTTCCACTTGGTTATTCTTATCAGAATATCATCCTTTGCAACCCCCCCTGTAAATGTAACTGAAACAAAAGCCACACCAATTCACCTACCTAGAATAATCCTGCATCAAAGCCCTAATTCAACTTGTGGGCCACCAAACACAGAGAACACCAGCATGGATGAAAATCTATGTGGCTTCCTATGATTGACATGCCTATCTCCAAAACAAGGCTTTAGTGTCTGGATGAAAAACCACATGGGATGTCATCTTACTGCCAGACCCAGTACTTGCTTTGTCTACATTTGCTTTTCCTAAGGTGCTAGATTACAGTTCTGACTGTGGATGATAGGAACTGAAGTCCAACATGTTGTGAAGGCAGCCAATTGGAAAAGTTTCACTGTGAGTTGTAAGCTTTCTTCTTTTATCTGTTTATGTCCTGTAAAGAGCATGAACACTGTTTTGTTATTTTGTCATTTAGTCATGTCCAACTCTTTGTGACCCCACGGACCAGAGCACGCTAGGCCCTCCTGTCTTCCACTGCCTCCCAGAGTTGGGTCAAATTCATGTTGGTAGCTTTGATGACACTGTCCAACCATCTCGTCCTCTGTTGTCCCCTTCTCCTCTTGCCGTCACACTTTCCCAACATCAGGGTCTTTTCCAGGAAAGATTTCTCTTCTCATGAGATGGCCAAAGTATTGGAGCCTCAGCTTCAGGATCTGTCCTTCCAGTGAGCACTCAGGGTTGATTTCCTTCAGAATGGACAGGTTTGTTCTCTTCGCAGTCCAGGGGACTCTCAAGAGTCTCCTCCAGCACCACAGCTCAAAAGCATCAATTCTTCAGTGGTCAGCCTTCTTTATGGTCCAGCTCTCACTTCCGTACACTATACTGGATGACAAATTTGCTGTACAAAATCCATTCATATATTAGCTGACAAATATGTCATTAGCCTACAGGGTGGGTACTGTCACGGACAAAAACTGCAGGTAAGGATGTGCACTTTCAAATCGACTGTTGTAAAAATAGCTCTTCTTATCGAAGTAATAAGAAGACCTGGTCAAGAAGGATCTTGCACAGTCTCGTCCCGTTTCCCCCCTCCCACGGTGGTGATGCTGACTACTGTCTTCCATTCCTGCTTTTTTCAATGTAGGAAAGATGTGGGAAGTTTTTAGTGACTAAAAACTTCCCACAGAAAGACTTTTTGGTTCCTCAGATATTCCTCAGCCATAGGAGGGAGGCCTGCCCCCGCTATGAGGCAGCTGGCCTCACGAATTATACCCAGCTGGACTTAGGGGACCTCCTAGTACATGAGGACATCCAGATGTTCCTTTTTGCTACATTCCATCATGCTGCATCTCTGTAAAACATCCACACAATAACTTTTCTAAGGCATGAGTAGTCTTCTGTCTTCTTAGAGCAGAAGCTCATTGGGATTCTGGCTGGTTGGAAACCTCCAGTTAGCCACACCTCTTTTTCATAATCTACTCAGCTATGCAGCTTCTGGAGGATCTTCTCTTTCCCCTCATCTCCCAGTAATGAATTAAGAGACCCTTTTATTGAGTGTCTCTTCATTAGATCTGGATTAGATTCTATCTTAGGACCAACAAAACTAACATCATCTGCTATGGGGCAAAAGGCAGAGCTTGGAAAAGTCACTTTTTAAGACCACAATATGTTGGTTGCATGATTCTGTGAGATGCAATCCAGAAAGTAACTTTCCTCAAAGTGTGGGAAGATGATATCAACATGACGTGTGGTGGACCCACCGTTGCAGAAGAGTCATGCTTTTAAAAAGTAGACTTTTAATATCATCTGAAAACATCAGAGAATGGGAAAGCATCCAGGTAACTAAAGCTACATTATCAACACTTTTGAAAAATACCCTTCTATTGTCTAGGCAGAAGTGGAGATGAGGTGGAGTGGAAAGATGACATAAAGAATTGAATAGCAGATTATGCTGGGTATATATTTATCACCTTCTATTCCTTATCTGGCCTCATAATAACCTTGTAAAAGATGATTTATTGTAAGACCCAGAAAAGTTTCCTATATATAGGAAGACAGATCTCTCTTTCCCTCTCTCTCCTTTTTCTCTAATCTTATTGGATGCAATTAATTATTCCTTTCAGTGTAAGTTACAGATCATGGCTAATGGCTAGGTATTACCTTGAAACTAACTATGCACTGCTATATTCTGTTTGCATTGAGGCTATTTGATGTGTTTCATATGGGGTATATATCCCCCATCTATCTAAGGACTGCTGTTCGTGGTATGTTTTTATGCCAAAAAGGTAATTATGATATATATCCCTTTTGTACATGCGTGTGTGCACACACAGACACACACATATAAGCTCTGAATTAAGAACTACAGTACATGCTGATTACAGTTCAGGGCAGGCTTATGAACAGGCAGACCAAGAAGTTCTGTAACATTTGAAAGAAATTCTAGAAATTCTTTTAACACCTCAGAGTATTACTGTTTGTAGAGCACCAGGTGACTTTGAAATGTCCCATACATTTTCCTAAACTAGTAAAAAAAAGAGTGCAGGCTGCAAATTGCATTACTACTACTCAGAGACAGTGCTGTCTCTTCCAAAATATTCATATGCAGACATCGAGATTTTTGTTCTTATCCCATAGCTTGCCAAATCACATTTGAGAAGTGACAATGCTGTAGTGTAGCGCTGTAGCACTATTAATTTTTATTCTCTCTCTTTAACTTTCTGGGCACATTTAATGCTGCATTTCGGGTTACTCTAGTTTTTATTTTGTCTTGTTGCATTGTTCTGGCCCAAATCTAATTATTTTGTGCCAGAGTAACAGAAATGGAATAATTTTGCACAGTGAGTTGCTGCAAGAGGAGTCAGTGTTGGTATGATCTGTTGTGTGCCAAACTGGCATGTGACAGAAAATTTCTGTGCTGATTTCTCAACCTCAACTTGGGGGACATGGTGGCGCTGTGGTCTAAACCGCAGAAGCCTGTGCTGCAGGGTCAGAAGACCAGTAGTCGTAAGATCGAATCCACGTGATGGAGTGAGTGTCCGTCGCTCCCGCCAACCTAGCGGTTTGAAAGCATGCAAATTCAAGTAGATTAATAGGCACCACCTTGGTGGGAAGGTAACAGCGTTCTGTGTCTAAGTCGCACTGGCCATGTGACCACGGAAGATTGTCTTCGGACAAACGTTGGCTCTATGGCTTGGAAACGGGGATGAGCACCGCCCCCTAGAGTCGAACACGACTGGACAAAAATTGTCAAGGGGAACCTTTACTTTCTCGACTTCTGGTAATCTGCCACAAAAGTTACATCATTTGTCTTGCACTCTTGGGCATAACCAATACAATTATTTTTATTCTGATAACTTTCCGGAGAACATATTGTTATAGACCTCGATACCTGTCAGAATGCCTTCTTCCACCTAGCTCTACCCGTGTCACTTGTTCTAGTCCAGCTCAGCGGTTGCGGGGCTTAACTCTGAGAGAGGTCCAGAAGGGAAAAAAACTAGAAACCGGGCCTTCTTGGTGGGGGCCCTTCGCCTTTGGAACATCCCCCCGCCCGAGATCTGCCTAGCTCCCTCACTGGGAGTTTTAAGAGTAAACTGAAGACCTGGCTCTTCCAGCTGGCCATCCCTCCTCACATTATTTAACCTCTTCCTCTGTTTTTTTCCATCTTGGATTACGTTGGCTGGTTTTAGTCTTTTTACTGATGTTTTTAATTTTATTGCTTTTTGGACTGTAAACCGCCCAGAGTAGATTAGTCTAGATGGGTGGTATAAAAGCCCGGTCAATGAATCAATGAATCAATCAATCAATCAATCAATCAATCAATCAATCAATCAATCAATCAATCAATCAATCAATCAATCAATCAATCAATCAATCAATCAATCAATCAATCAATTGGCCCATGGTGCTTATGACAGAGGCCACATTTTCACCCGCCACACACCCAGAGGGTTGCAAGAATGGAAGGCTTTTAAAACAAAAAATAATACTGGGAAACAGATATTCTATGTTCTGTTTTCCTTTTCCATGAGGGGGGCATGTAACAGTTCCCACTGCATGTAAAACAAATGGTGCTCTTGGAAGTGTATGTTTCAAAAATAATATGTCTTAAGAAGGTGCTCTGTTGGCTTTACAAAGATGGCTACATACTTCAAGATAAAATATGTAAATAAAAACAATAAAAAGACAAAAGAACTAGCCACAATTGAATAGAAGACTCTAAGAAACCCAAAGTAAATAAACCCCTCATCACATGGTAAAACCTTTCTAGATTCTACAGTTTCAGACTGCAGGTGGGGCGCTGTGTGACTGAATGGATGCTGCATTTTTTTAAAAAAAGGTGCTATTTGCAAGGAGAAATCTAGATACCAGGTATGAGCTTATTCTAATCTTTTCCCCAAGATTTGAGCTTTCTACAGCCCCATTCAGCATCATCTAACACAATCAGAGGGGAATGTCTTGTTCTTTCCTCATGTACCATCTTTTACTTCACATAAACAGCAATGAGTCTGAAGAGGAAAAGGTTTTGCTTGTGTGTAGGCCCTACATATGAACAAAAATACATATTTTTCCGGCATTCATGTTTGCATGTAGGGTTCATCTGTGCTTGGAATTCTCTCCCCCCCCCCACTCACACACGCATGTGCACACACACAATCTGAAAGGGGACTATTCAAGAGCTGAATGTTCACTACATAATGAATAGTTTGTTAAGTGTGCTTTGGCAGAAAGACATTAAAAATGCTTAATTTATACTAATGCATGCCCTTTGCCATTATTTTTTTTCTCATCATACATATCATAAACAATTAAAAAAATCAATTAAACTTTGCATCATGTCACTCATTTTTCAATGTAATTAGTGAGAGCTGACTCATTAAAGCCTAAGCATGTAGCAGATTAAGTTCACTCTGATATCAGACTCTAAAGACATTGTTGTGTCTCTTTTTAAAAAATATTGCTATGGCACTCTCAGCAAAAAGTCAAACGCTAATCCATGATTATCCTATCAAGAGTTTCAGTTCTCTCTCATCGTTAAACAATAGTAACAAGGAAACAAATACAAGGTCATTGAAAAATAATTTGTCCGTATACAAACCAGTGCTAGCAAGTCTTCATAATTAGGCTAACATTTTGTGTCTTCTTCTGAATGCACAATGAATGAATGAATGAATGAATGAATGAATGAATGAATGAATGAATGAATGAATGAATGAATGAATGAATGAATGTGTGTCATTAAGAAGCTGAGGATGTTTATTACATACCTGGTACCATCTACTTGCTCCTTCCTTTTGGAGAATTTGGCGGGGGGGGAGGTAAAGGAAAATGATAGGAAAAAAGCAAGGAGAAAGGAAGGAAGTTGGCGTTAAATTCAGCAGGAAATTGTTTAGCACCAGTGTCAAGCCAGGCCTAGCTGGTTAGTCATGCAATATTTAGACCCAAAGTACAAGTTTCCTTCATTGGCTTGGGACACAAAATTGTTTTGTTTTGCTGTGTGGTTGTTACTCCTTTTCCCCAACATCCTATTTTTGTTGTTGTTGTTGAATGAGCCTCATGGCACAGTGGTTAAACTGCAGTACTGTAGCCAAAACTGTGCTCACAACCTGGGTTCACTCCCAGGTAGCTGAGTCAAGGTTGACTCAGCCTTCCATCCTTCTGAAGTCAGTAAACTGAGGACCCAGCTTGCTGAAGGGGCAATGTGTAGCCTGCATAATTAAAATGTAAACCACCCAGAAAGTCATTTAAGTTCTATGAAGTGGTATGTAAGCAGCACACGGTCCTGTTTTGCTTTCTTCTGTTTTTGTTGGGAAAGTTTAATATTCACTGCTTATAATTATTGTAGTTCTAATATTTCTCTCTCTCTCTCTCTCTGCCATATAAGGGACGTGGTGGTGCTGCGGGCTAAACTGCAGAAGCCTTTGTGTGCTGCAGGGTCAGAAGACCAGCAGTTGTAAGATCGATCGAATCCATGTGACGGAGTGAGCTCCCATCGCTTTGTCCCAGCTCCTTGCCAAGCTAGCAGTTCGAAAGCATGTAAATGCGAGTAGATAAATAGGTACCATCTTGGTGGGAAGGTAAACAGTGTTCTGGGTCTAAGTCGCACTGGCTATGTGACCACGGAAACTGTCTTCAGACAAATGCTGGCTCTATGGGTTGGAAATGGGGATGAGCACCACCCCCTAGAGTCGAACATGACTGACTAAAAACGTCAAGGGGAACCTTTACTTTTACCTGCCTTATAATCCATGAGCAGGGGTTCAAACATGCCTAAGACTGGCCTAATCAGTCCAGAGCTGAGTCAACAAGTTACTTAAACTTTTCCATAAGCAAAAGAGCTGGGTTACTTTCCATGCCTAGTGGTATGAGTTACTGTCTTGCACAGTTTGATGCTAAGACTTCTTCATTCCATTGCCTGCAAGGTCTGAAACCCACCAGGACATACCTGCTTTACAAGATGACTGTTTAAATGCAACTTGCTGATTGGTAATGAGATAAAATACCTCTAAATTGTGGATTGGTAGAATGAGTTGCCATTCTCCTCCCTTCTGTCCAAATATACTGCATGCAAACTCCCTGTGAGAGAGTGCATTTTAGTATTTGTACTGAATGCACCTCCACGGGGAATCAATTGCTTTGGCCACCACACTCCCTACCCATTGTTCTATCTCCAATCCCACCCACTACCACAAACCAATAGGTGCGATAAGGCCACACCCACAACCATTTTGTTCTACAAACTGTTTGCGCGGGACACAGTCAGAACATAAAATTCCTCTCAAACCTTTTCAGTACATAAGGAACTTCCCAAGTTCCGATTGGGAGAAAAACATGGAAATGTTGCCCCCCTGTTGAACTCCAACTTCCAGAATCTCCCGTCCAGCATGAGCGAGGCAGTTAGGGGATGATGGGTGTTGTAGTCCAACAGGTAAGATTTCTAGCCTGGACAAGTGGTCACAACAGTCTTCAAATATGTTCTGTGCAATAAACTGATGACTTCCGAAAGCAAGAGACTTGCCTGAAATATGGGAATGATACCACCGATTCATAAAACCTCCACGTAGCCACGAGATCCAGCCTGTTGGGATTAGTGGCATAGTACCGCCAGGCAGCCTAAAGAACACAAGAGGGGTGATGTGATCAGAAGGTGAGGGAACAGGTATATATAACGCATGTGCGTGTGCGTCTGCCAGCAAAGAAATGCGCTGTGTCATTGCTTCAATGGATTCCCAGTCTAAAACACCAAGAATAAGACAAGATGCAAGGGGTGCCTTGAAAACAGGAAAAAGATAGGGTAGGAAACTGCGAGGAGGGCTCCATCCTGCACCCTAACAGCTTAGCAGGGATGCAGTGGTAAAATCTGAACTGCAGGCACTCATCATGACAATCCCCACACCCCCAAAGGGAAGTTAATAATTCAGGCGGCTGCCTTGCTTCCATACCAGCAAATTATTATCAGTCATCTCCAGCAACAAAGTCATTGGTACCCCCATGTTTTAAAATTAAAGGCATTGTGTCATTATGTTGACCGGTTGGGTCCATCCTCCAATCTCATCTAGCCCAGCTGTTTCACCATCTTCAGGGAATCGAGGCCCAACTGTATTTTTCATAAATTGTGATTGCTGATGTGGCCATTTCAACAAACAAATCATTACGGAAGAGTTGAAATCTTAGACTATAAAAGTATATCAAAAATATGAATTATCCATACTCCCTTTCCAGAGTTGATGCAAAGTGCAGGTGTTCTAACCTATAAAGCGCCAAATCGCTTGGGTCCAAGTTATCTCGAAAACTGTGTTTCCCTTTATATGCCTGCCCAGGTGTTAAGATTACAAGGGGAAGCCTTTCTCTAAGTCACATCAGCTTCACAGGTACATTTGATGGAGATGCAAGAGAAAGCGTTCTCTGTCGCTGCTCCCAGACTCTGAAACTCCCTCCTGCAGGAGGCTAGGCTGGGCTCATCTTTGCTGTCCTTCTGCAAGCAAAGACATTTTCTCTTAAGGCATTTCCTTAGTTTCTAGCTGTCTAGGAGACAATAAATGGAGTGGCTTATATTTTGTTGCTTCCAAATCTGTTTTCGTAATGGTTTTACCTAATATTTTTAATATAATTATACATTCCTCTTTAATATTTGAGCAATCTATTATTTTTAGCTTCTAATATTGTGTTTTTTGGGACGTGGTGGCACTACGAGTTAAAGCGCAGAAGCCTCTGTGCTGCAAGGTCGGAAGACCTGCAGTCGTAAGATCGAATCCACGTGACAGAGTGAGCTCCCGTCGCTTTGTCCCAGCCCCTGCCAACCTAGCAATTCGAAAGCATGCAAATGTGAGTAGATAAATAGGTACCCCTTTGGTGGGAAGGTAATAGTGTTCTGTGTCTATTCGTGCTGGCCACGTGACCACAGAAACTGTCTTCAGACAAATGCTGGCTCTACGGCTTGGAAACGGGGATGAGCACCACGCCCTTGAGTCAGACACGACTGGACTAAATGTCAAGGGGAACCTTTACCTTTTCCTTATTGTGTTTTTAATGATGTAAGGTGCCTCGAGTCCTTTTTTAGGGAGAAAGGTGGCATAAAATGTTTGCCTTCCTTGCTCATTGAAGATCAAGCTGCTCCTAAACCCAGCAACAGCTCATACAAACGTAGCATACCTGGAAAAATCCATCTTCCTCCCAGTTATATTGTGAGGACTGCAGCTAAGTTCAGAGGGAACAAAGACTCTTGAGCGGGTTAAAGGAGGCATACTTGGGGTGCAAAGCCAGGTAATGTTTTAAGACTTTTTCATGGCAGTATAATCTCCAAATCCCATGAATTACTACTAGTCCCTCCTCTATTCAGCACTGGTAAGGCTTCACCTAAGAGTGCTGTGACCAGTGTCTCCAAATCCCTCCTCTATTCAGCACTGGCAAGGCTTCACCTAAGAGTGCTGTGACCAGTTCTGGACATCACACTTTCAAGAAGGATATCAGCAAACTGGAGCACTTCAGAGGGGGTCAGGGGACTGGAAACCAAGCCCTATGAGGAAAGACTGAAAGACTTGGGCATGTTTAGCGTGGAGAAAAGAAGACGGAGGGATGATAGGATAGCACTTTTTAAGTACCTGAAATGTAGTCACACAGAGAAGGGATCTGTTCACAATCATCCCAGAGTGTAGGACACATAATAATGGGCTCAAGCTACAGGAAGCCAGATTTAGGCTGAATATCAGGGAAAGCTTCTTAACTGTTAGAGCAGTACAACAATGGAACCAGTGACTATAGGAGATAATGAGCGCTCCAGCACTGGAGATATTCAAGAGAAATGTGGACCACCATCTGTCAAATCTGGTTTGATTTGGATTCTTGATTTAAGCAGGGGGTTGGACTTGATGGCCTTATAGGTCCCTTCCAACTCCATTATTCTATGATTCTATGTGGGACAGAACTATGGGGGCTTATATGTGATTTAACCCAGCACAGGGTGCCCATTTAGCTGTTGAAGTGTGTGTGTGTGTGTGTACTCGGAACAGAAGTGGCAAGAGAATTTTGTTCCTGTTCCTCACAAATTTAGCTTCTGAGCCCACCCTTTCACCACGAGATGTAAAAGCAGGCAGCCCCTGTAGCTTTCAAAAGCCCGGGAATGGTGCGCCATTCAAACAGGGTCTGAGGAACAGGCAGGGCGTCCAAACCTGTATGAGTTCTGCTGCTGGCTTTCTTCTCTTCTCGAAATGCTTCTGGCGATGCTGCTCTTGTACCTTCAGAGCCAACCCTGAGCCCAAAATGCCCTGAAAAGAAAGTTGAGTGGGGGAAAAAAAGGCTTTAAATACTACGTCTCCGGAAAGATCAGAAGAAGAGCATATGGGGAAAGGTTTATTTCCAGGGTTTCTGGACAGCGGGAAGACAGGAACAGGGCAGTCAAGGCAGCAGACGTCAAAGGAAACAGTGCCTTCATGTTGCCTCCCTCCAAGGCTTTCATGTCATAATAATAGTCATGTGCCATTAAATCAATTCTAACTCATGGCAATGCCCTGGGACAGTGCAGCTTGCCCAAGACCACACAGGCTGGCTCTGCTTGCAGGAGGCACAGTAGGGGAACTGAACCCCTAACCTCTGGCTCCACAGCAGATATCCCAAGTATTGACTGATCCAGTCAGTCTTCAACATAACATGACTCTAAAAATGTAAGAAAAGTCCCAACAACACATTCTGTTCACACAATGGTCAAAGGGTAGGGTAAGAGGGGCTTTGATCTCGGGGCCCAAAAGGCTCAGTAATTTGGAGGTGGGGGGAGACACACAAGTTGGAATTCAGTGGTATTTGCTGCTTGAAAGAGGCAAACCTGCCAATTTGAGTGTGTATACTTCATAAAGTCCATCTCAAAACAGGAAGACTCTTAAAAAACAGATTTGTTACCTAATCGCTATGTCTATCATATTGGTCAGACCTGGGTGTTCCTCCCTATTCTTCCATTTTTCTTCCCATGTATGCCAATCATAGGTGATCCAAGGTTAACCAATGGGAAGGCACCCAGGCTTCAAAACTCTGACCGAGTTGGACAATAGGGTTCATGACCCTAAGATGTGTTATGACTACATGATTGTCTATTCCGAAGGCCAAACATTTCCAACGTATCTCATGAGGTCATCAGGAAAACTTACGGCTGGGAGGGCAAAAAATGAAACTCCAACGAGAGAGAATGTTGCAGCTATCAGGCGTCCCTCCCACGTTTTGGGTGTCTTGTCACCATAGCCGATGGTTGCTAGGGTTATCTGTGGAGAGAAGGTTTGGGACAGTCTGTAAGAAAGATAAAGCAAATGGCCAAGAAGAATGTCTCCTTGAATTTATCCTCAATTCCCAATCACCCTATCTTTTCTCTTTGCATCTCAGCATACATGATACCCTGCAGAAATATTCCCATTTCACAATTTTAAGAAGTGGAAACTTCAAGCTTTCCTTCCTTCCTTCCTTCCTTCC